ATTCAATCAGGGGTGAAGAAGACAAGTGTGAGAGGTATGAAAACCTGATTTTGACTATCACATTTTTATGATACCTGAAATCTTTTATAATAAGCAAAAATTAACTTTTTTTTTAAAGATTGGCACCTGAGCTAACAACTGTTGCCAGTGTCTTTTTTTTCTTCTTCTTCTTCTCCTCCCAAAAGCCCCCCAGTACATAGTCGTATATTCTAGTTGTCAGTGCCTTTAGTTGTGCTATGTGGGACGCTGCCTCAGCATGGCCTGATGAGTGGTGCCATGTCTGCACCCAGGATCCAAACCAGTGAAACCCTGGGCCACTGAAGCAGAGCACATGAACTTAACCACTTGGCCGTGGGCCTGGCCCCAAAAATTAACTGTTGAGTTGGTTGTAGTAGCCAGTAATGTGGCTGAGAGATTTGTGTTTACAGTCAGTAAATTAATTTTGTTTGGAACAGGAGCATAGTGAAACTTTGTGCTAAGGGAAGCTTGCCAGACAGGGTTGAGTCCTAGGCTTGAAGCAACTGGATTTCTCAAGTAGGTGCCGAATGGAATAGAATTATACTTTTGTTGATAGTGCGCTATGATGTTCTTAGAGTCTAGCAAATAGCTGTGGTAAAGGAGACTCCAGGGAGTATGGAAATGAGACTTAAGGAATAATTAGTTGTCTGGCATGCACCTGTTATATATTATAATGAAGCTAATGTTTATCGAGTAAAATTTACGTGCCAGGCATTCCGCACGTGTATTTTGCATCTCATCTTCACAACAACTCGATTTTGGTGTTATTTACTATACCCATTTTACAGAATGAGGTAACTGTGGGTTAGACGTATTTTACAGAAAGAGGAGACTGACACTAAGTAACTTGTCCAAGGTCATAGTTCAGAAGATCCAAACCCAAGTGGTCTGACTCCAGAGCCTGTCTTCTTCACTGTTTTGCTTGCTTTACTGTTTTACCTTAAATCTGATGCTTATTTTGGTGATATGAGGTTAGGAACCTCATTGCTGAGCCATTCTGTGGCATATCTCCTTGAAGAATATGTTCTGACCCAGTTGAAAGACACGAGAGCCAGCCTAGGGGGTTTTTATTATTTGATGGATACCCTGCTAGATGACCTCTCAAAACTGTGCAAATAAATTAACTGTTTATGTCTTTGTGTTAAATGAACAATTTTCACTTTTCATTTTCTTTGTTATTTTATAAAGACTAAGCGACACTTTGAAAGTGAAATGTATTTGAGAACTATTAATGCAGCAGAGTGTTCCTGAATATAATAGACATAGCTAATGGTTAGTAACTTTAAACAAGTTTTAAATTTACTGGAGACCTTATAATTTGTTAGGGTAAGGCGGAGGCCTTTTTTCTTAATCTGAGTACCCATATTTTTCCATACTAGAGCAAATTTGAAGAATAAAATGATAAGTTCAGTTTGGGACGTGTTTTGAGATACTGCCATGGACTTATCTAATAGTTTATCTAATAGTTTAGGATTTGGAAATCAGGAGCTGAACTAGAGATGGAGATTTGTGTTTTTTCCAATTTGATGTATGTATTTACTTAGAAATCTGTGTTCTAAGCCATTACGGAATAAAGGATTTGGGTAGATTTAGAGGCACAGCTGTATATTGTAGTCCTGGACAGAGTCCTGATTTAGGAGATGAGAATATTAGTTGCAGTTCTGTTACACTTTCAGACTGTGAGACCTTGAGCACAAGGACTCAATTTACTCATGAAAAATTGAATCGTTAATCTAGATATTCAGTCTCATCTATTATGGAACAAATTTTAGTACCCCAGGTCTTTGTTGTTTAAGTACCTCTAATATGTATGGGTGATACCTCTGGATTAGGAATCATAAATTTCTTCCTAAAACCCTCCTTGCTGCCATAGGCTGTATAACTACTGAGATAAGAGGAATGAGTGGGAAAGAGTGAAAGAACACAGAGGATCAAAGGCCTTATTAAGTGAGTAAAATAATTCTAAAGCTTTTCTTTCCACATTTCCAGTTTATGAACTTGTGTATAGAAATGAGCAATAGCTACCCACCAGCGTAAAGGTATCTCTTTCTATCCTAAGAAATGGCTTAATGATCATGGACAGTCATTTCAGTTTGGGTTCATTGTTGTTGGTTGTTAGTGTGTACTGTAAGTGTGGATATGTTGATTGCTTGTCCTTATATTTGAGATTTTCGAAAAACATTTATTAAAGCACAATAGCAATGTAGAAGTGCTAAGTAAGAAAAGGTACATGATCATAATGGAAAAGAAAGTGAAAATCAACTTTCCATAGATGTGTTCACATTGGTCATTGATACAGTGTTGCTTTGTATTTAAGAACAAATGGATTTTGGAGTAGTCTTTTGAAATCTAACCTTTTACAGAGAAACTTCTGTATCAGGAAATATCTTTCAGGGCTGGCCTGGTGGCATAGTAGTTAAGTTCATATGTTCTGCTTCGGCGGCCCGAGGTTTGCTGGTTCGGATCCCGGGTGTGGACATGGCACCGCTTGGCAAGCCATGCTGCGGTAGGCTTCCCACATATAAAGTGGAGGAAGATGGGCATAGATGTTAGCTCAGGGCCAGTCTGCCTCAGCAAAAAGAGGAGGATTGGCAGCAGATGTTAGCTCAGGGCTGATCTTCCTCAAAAAAAACAAAAAAAAAAAGGAAATATCTTTCGATTCTGGTCATACTTTCTTACTGTGGTTTTTCAAGTTTAGGATAATGGTTTTCTTTTTATCAAAAGTACTACAGTCATTCTTTATAAAGAATATATGTATAAATAGCTTAAATATCTAATGATAGACTTTTAAAACAATATCTGTCATTATTAATGTAATCCTTTTATCATTACACACAGGGCACACAGGTTTGGTAGGTACAGAAGAAATTTTAGACAATGGTTACTTCCCCAAAGAGTTTTTGCTCTAATTATCTTGGTGCCTGGCACATTGCTTGGCAAATAATAGGCATTCAAACATTTATTCAGTTGATTTAGGGGAACATCATTTTAAATGTGAGACAATGTATAGTTAGTGGTAACCTGGTATGGGCACTCAGTGCTGTATTTCTGAAGGGAGGGATTCATATAGGTCGAGCCATAGAATTTGGGAGGCTTTGTGAAAGAAATGGGACTTGAGCATTGAAGAATTGAAAAGATGTGAATGGGTGCTGAGAAGTAGGAGAGGTATTCTGGGAATGGGGAATAATAGAAGAGAGGTAAGAATGAATGTAGTTTGTGTAGAGGACCATAAGAAGGCAAGCCTAGTATAGAAGAATTGAGATGGGTAATAATTGAAGGGAAAAGATTATAAGTGACATTTGTCCAAGGCCAAATTTGTGTCTTATGTTTATATCTGTCTGATCAATTTAGGTCAAAGCCTTTTTTTTTCCCCTCTAGATATGGAGCATTGCTCAAAAACTATCTGAATGTGCTAAAAATAAAAATGTTTTCCCAGCATTGGAGTTGAGCTCATTATTAAAAGGGATGGAGTGAATGTGGGAAACTGCTAGGTTTGAATTTAGTTTAGTGAATAGAAATATAACCTGAATTGAATTCTTAACCCTTATTTTATGTTGATTTCCAGTTAGGGAAATCACAGTCATCCATGATGGCCCCTAGGGTCCAGAATATATAGGGAATTGGCTTTACTGAAATTAGGAAATCGAGTATGTGATTTGGCTAGCACATACTAGCTGGATTTGAGTTTTCCGGGAAACTGATCACCAGCTCAACTTCATTCCTGAACTTGTGTCTTTAAAATTAAAATTGTAAATGCTGTTTCAAAGAACGGGATGTTGTTTAATGTGATTATTTTAATAATCTTTGTCTTTTCATGTCACATTTATGGCCATAACCATATGATGCAATATTTAATAAAATCATGATAAACTCAAATTAATTTTTTCCTTTTTCTTTTGTTAGTAGTGGTAACTTTTTTTTTAAATAAGCAAACGTCTTTGGCAGGCACTTTTTAAACTTTTCTCCCTCCACTGTGAAATTGTTTTCACTCTTAAGTTGCGTTTCTGTTTTTCTACTATTGTAAAGTGCCGTTCTTTGCATGTTCTAATTTGCCATGACGTGGTCAAGTGCTGTTTCCTTCCTGTTGCTTGCAAGCCTGTGCTAGAGATAAGGATACATTTCAGTGCATTAAAAAAGAAGCCACTGAAGACAGGCTTAAGCATGGTAAAGCATTTTCCTTATCAGAAAACTTTTTAAAGAACAGAAAGAGTGGGCTTTAATTTCTGCTTATTTTTAAAACCTCTTAAAATAGTACTTACTAAACTTTAAATGTATTAGACAGATTTTAAATCCTTATCTATATATTAGGCCTAACAGGGATACTGTCTGAATATTTCTATTAGGACAAAAATATACATGATGAAATTACTGACGGAGTAGCAGTTCCTATGTATGTGGTATGCTGGGTTAGTGGAAGGAGGAAATCATTTATATATCCTTTATTGCAGTTAGAAACCTACTTATGGCTGGGTGGGTTTTTTTTTTTAGTATTCGGTACTTTGTAGTTTAAAGAGAGGGGGAGAATGGCTTCATTTTCAGTAATGAGAGGTGATCTTATCTTAGCAGGAATGAAGTCTTCAAAGAAAATATATGTCTATCTTTAAAAAAAAAATCCTATATTCCTTAGTCATGTTGATTTTGTTTAAAAACATTAACAAAAAAATACTTTGGAGACACTGCCCTTACTATCAGCTGTTATATTCTAAATGGGTATGGTTGCTTTCTTATAACTAACTTAAGCTTTATGTTTTTCAGGCCAAGAAGTTCTAGAGAAGAAAAATTTCAGAAATATTGCCTCAGTTTGAGTACAATATCAGTGAACCAAGAAATTTGAAGAACCTTTCCTAAAGAAAACCTGGATATCCAGTACCTTCACAGACTTAGCTGAGGGTTTTTACCCAGAGTGGTCACTGGACTCTGCTGCCTGATATTCGAACCTGTTTGGAATTTTTCTCATGTGGATCTAAGGGGAATGCTTTATTATGGCTGCTGTTGTCCAACAGAACGACCTAGTATTTGAATTTGCTAGTAACGTCATGGAGGATGAACAACAGGTAGGAGACTCAGGGAAAATTGGATTTTAATAAGTTTATTATGATGATTTTTCTATTTGTATCAGAAAATTATTTACTTTAGAAGACAGTAGGAGAAACTTTGTTAATGCGAAAATTTAGATATTAAAAATTTGGAGGTAATGTGATCTTGTGTGTTAAGTACTAGTTAATTGATTAAGAAAGAATTTCATCCCTAGCTTTGATGTGGTAACAGGGAGGTAGTACTTTTGGGGTTAGCTTGTTTTTCTGTAAAGTGAGACTTAACAGTGAATACCTTAAGTAATTATTTCAAAGTACTATGAAAAGTTCTAGAGGACAGACTAATAAGATGTAAATTTTTTAATGCGTAGGACTGGTGATTGTAAGTTTCTTATGATTATACAGTTTTAATGTATGTGGCTAATTAATATTTATAACCCTGGCTATTTATTCAAGTGGAGGAAAAGATGTTAGCAGTCCCCTAACCGTATATCATTTTAGTCCAAAGCATGTGACTGTGAGGAAGTTACTTCTCTAGATCTAGATTTCGTCATCTGTTGAATGAGGGGATTGAACTGAAGAATTTCTAAATTGGCTTTCATTTAATTTATGCAAGATGTGCAAATTGCTGTTTCTAGAATGTGAAAAAGATCCGAGAGATACTGAGAAAAGGATCTAAGTTAATTTCAGTCCCCCACTCCTGTCCCTTTTAGGTGGGGAGGCTAGGGCTTCTTGGGACTTTATAATTTACTTCATTTTAAAGAGGTTATTTGGGCATGTAAGACATGATGTGAGAGAAATTATGTGTTAGAGAGACTCAGTGTACTGGGAAAAATATTTTGAGGAGCAGTAGATTTAAAATATGCCTAATAAAGTTGATTTATATATTGAAATAAGCCTAATCCAAAATACCTAACTTTAATAGGTCAATTGTAGTATATCATGCTTTTATTCTAGAAACATAAATACTAGAAATAATAAAATTGATTCTTACTTTTGGCAGAGCATTGTAATTTCTTAGCTCTTTGTGTTGTTGATTGACATGATGGAATAAAAAAATTATAAATAAATCTACAAAAGATGAGCGTTTGGATTAAGTGGCTTAAAATCAGGATGCGCTTTGGCTAGGGAAGAAAAGTGTGAGTTGAGAGGATTGCTTGGTCCCAATTAAAATTATGTTAATAGTTATGTGGATTTAATCTAGAGACAATAGAAAAGATATTTTAGGAGGAGAAAGTGTTTTGTATTTGTTTTAAAACAGGATGTTTCTGTATACGTTAAGGTTTGACAACAGTATGTTTACTCTGCAGCCCTCGTAGGTGAAAGATCCCAGGCTTGATGTGGTGAGATTTGTTCTCGGGATGTGGCTGCAGAGGGCAGAACTCTAAGCCACTCACTGGTGTGCTCTAGTGCGGTGGCGTTGACACTCTTTTGATCATGAGAAATACATTTTACATTATGCATAATATTCATATATGTGTCTGTATAGCCTTAAAAAAAAGTTTTGCAAGACAGTACTTACCCTTACTAGGTATGATGCGCTTAGTTTATCTTGGAGAGGTTTTTAATGTCTTTGGATAAGGAGACGGGACTCTTAGCTTAACGTCAGAATGCACATGTACGTATTTTCTTAAGTTATTTATTTTTATTTAACAAAATTAATATATATTTTCTTAAGTTATTTATTTTTATTTAACAAAATTAATATATATTTGTTTTGTACAGTATTATTATAAGGACTTTACAAATATTAAACATGTGAGCAAATACCATTATCCCCATTTTACGATGAGGAAATTGAGATGTAGATAGGTTAAGTGACTTGCCTGAAATCATACAGTTAGTAAATAGTGGAGCTGCAGTTTGAAGCCAAACAATTTGACTGTCACTAATGATGCTGAATGCTCTTTCAATGACTTATGCCAATCTCACTGTATTGTAATCAGTGTCAGAAGGTTTGGAACAGTTGGTTAGGTTTAGAGTTCTTCATCTATGGCCTGAGCCTACCAAACTTAACTGATTCACATGGGGTAGACCCAGTAGTGTCAGTCTTATTAGGGTCTTATCTAACCTGTGACTCTACTTCCTTGTTTGTTTGCTTGTTAAATTTGTTTTTAATATAAAAGTAATAACATGCCAATTATAAAAGGAGTCACCTAATATGAAAATTATAAAATAGTGAAAGTCTCTGTTTATTCTCTCCCTAATCCTGTTCTCCTCAGAAGATAGCAGTATTGACTTATTTGATGTATAATTTTTTTAGACAAAGGCTTCAACAAAAGAACAATATACATACATAGAAACCTACATATAGAGTTGTTTTCAAGATAAAAATGAAAGTATGCTAAACCTTTTTTGTGACTTACTTTCAGTTAATGTATTATAAATATTTGTGTATATGTATACTGGCTCTACATAATTTATTTTTCCATATGATAGATGAGTCATAATTTATTTTACCAGTGGACATAATTTATTTTACACGAGCGATTGGCTATTACCAGTATTTTGCTAGTGTAAACAATATTGCAGTGAATGTCCTTGCTTGGGAGGCAGTTGACCTATAGTGGTTAACAGCTTAGATATTGGAGTCAAAGCACCTGGGTTTGAATCCTTGCTGCACTACTTATTACCTCTCAGACCTTGGGCAAGTTACTTAACTTCTCTGTGCTTTGGTTCCCTTCTCTGCAAAGTGATAATAACAGACTCGATATTGTAGGGTTGTTGTGAAGATTAAAGAAGTTGGTATATATAAAGCTCTTAGAACTATGCCTGGTGCATAGCTAGTATTTACTGAGCACTATTGCTTCATTATTGCATTTTGTGTGTGTGTGTGCGTATATTATTATATAGTATATCTTTGTACACTTGTATGATTATTTCTGTTGTATTTCTAAAAGTACAGTTACTGAGTTTACTAAAAGCCATAGACATACTACCAAATCATTCTTTAAAAAGGCTGTGTCCTTTTCTATTACCACTAACAGTATATTTCCCGAACCATCACTAATAGAAAACCTCCTTTTCTTTTTGTTCAGTCTTTTAGGTGAAAATTATATTTTACTGTTTTAATTTGCATTTTCTTGACTATTAGTAGTGAGGTTGTTGGATTGTTTGTTAATTTTATCATTCATTTGAATTTTCTTTCAGTTATTATTAATATCCTTTTGCCCCCTAGGGATTTTTTATATATTATGGATATTACATTAGCATCATTGTCCTCTAACTAATTCACTGTACAGTTAATGGTTAACTCTCTTTTTGTGACACATCATGCAGATATTTTGTCCCAATCTCGTACTGTCTTTTAACAATATGGTATCTTGTTGATATAGATATTTTAAATATCTATAGAAATTTTAAATATTTCTGTCATAAAATTTACCAATTTTTTTTTTGGTTTTTGCTTAGGAATTTTTCTTTATCCCTAAAATTTATCAAATATTCTCTTTATATCTTCTTCTAGTATGTTTTATATGTTTAACTGCTCGGTCCATATGAAATCTATTTTTGTAGGATGTGAGGTCTAAGGATCTGATGATTCTCCTCTCCCACAAATGGAGATGTTGGCCCTTCACCATTTATTGAGTGTTTTATCATTTCCACACTAAGATTGCCACCTTTGTTATATCTAAGTTACCATACGTACAGACTTCACTTTTGAACTTACTAGTATATTTTATCCATTTATCTGCTTTTGTATTGTGCCAATATCACATTGTTTTCATTAATATCACTTTATAGATTTGATATCTGGTAAGATATTACCCCCTCCCACCTCCCAAAATAATTGGAATAGAGTTTCGAATGAATTTTAGAATTAGCTTGTTACATAAAAACTGTTGGGATCTTAATGTTTCATAGTTTAAAAGTATTTGTCTTTTAAAATAATTATTCTCTTTTATGATCCTATATTGGTTTGATTGGTTGGCTTTTTATAAAATCACTGTTTGAAGGCTCTAGATTAGAATATATTTCCTGTTTTCAGTTATAGTCTGTGGTTATAAAAGTAGTCGTCTAAAGAAACTCACACCATCAATGTCTGGTTGCCACCACCTTGATCATTTTCTCTTATATCAATGCATACTTTCTTCAAACTTGCTTTGAAGAACTTCTTTGGGCAGGGATGGGGGTGAGGTTGCTGGAAAGGAAATATCAACATCATTGGAGCTGACAAACCATTTAGAAGTCTGTTCTTGGTGTCTATTCCAAACTGGGAATATTTGTAGCGGAAAATGAGACACTTCTGTGGGAGACAGCACCGTCAGTATTGAATTGCAGTATACTTTTATTTTAAGGTGACTTGGTTTGACCTTATTAAACAGGTATGTTTCCTTGGTAAATGTATAGGTATACGAAAAAAGCTGAAGGCTGTGGATACAAGTTCTAAAGAGAAGGAAACTTCCAAAAGTTAATTTAATGAAAAACAGCTGGTAGTTTAATGCTTTTTATAATTTTGGTCTATCATTACACTATATGTTTTTTCAGTTGTTGGTTCTAAAAACAGAACTTAGGAAATCATAGTTATTTATGCTTAACAGACCTAGCTCACTAGGGAGAAGCTTGGTGACGTGCTTGGGAAAGTGAAACAAATTTTTTTGTGTGCTTGAGGAAGATTAGCCCTGAACTAACATCTGTTGCCAGTCTTTCTCCTTTTATGCTTGAGGAAGATTAGCCACGAGCTAACATCTGTGCCAGTCTTCCTCCACATTATATGTAGGTTGCCACCACAGCGTGGCTGACGAGTGGTGTAGGTCCCTGCCTGGGACCCGAGCCCGTGAACCCAGGCTGAGGAAGCAGAGTACACTGAACTTAACCACTATGCGATGAGGCTGGCCCCACAAATATATATATATATTCCTGTGTGTGTGAGGAAGATTGGCCCTGAGCTAACATCTGTGCCAGTCTTCCTCTATTTTGTATATGGGACGCCACCACAGCATGGCTTGAGGAGCAGTGTGTAAGTCCGTGCCCGGGATCTGAACCTGTGAACCCGCCAAAGTGGAGTGCGCCAAACTTAA